GCTGCAATGTAATTTACAAACATTGTTAAAACTAATTCTACCAACAAAGTGTAGTAAGGTAAACTGAAGTTGCATATGTAATAAATGAAAATTAAATCAACCAAGGAAGTAAAAAATTTAAACAAGATTTCAATGGAATGCACCACCAGTTCGTACGAAGTAAATTTATTTATATCACAATACTTTGTCAAACTTGTCGTGCATTTCTTATCATAACACTAGCAAGGTAACACCAGCTGATAACTATTCCGCCAGCGCTAAGATTGAAATTTCATGTTAAAATGTCATGAAAACAATGAACATAATGAGCACATCTATCTCTGCACTTAATTTTGGCTTAAATAAATGAAGCTGAAAAGATAATTTGATGGTTTTCTATTGCTTTAAAATAAATCAATCATTTGAAATTGAAATTAAAATGATTTGATTTGCTATTTAATTAATGATTTCGTCGTATTATAGGTAACGGAATTACCACAAGGTGTATTAGCGATGCTAAACGCCTTGCATACCAATGATGTGCATACTATTTTGTACAGAAATTTAGCAAATTTGCTAGATTTATTATCCCTGATTAATTGTTACGTTAGTTTCATGACTTACTGTTTCCTAAGCTCAAAATATCGGCAAACATTTATTATTATGCTTGTTAATTCGTAAGTTAATTACTTTTTTCTTCTAATATCTTTTAAAAGACTTTGAAATTTGAAATTTTCAAATTTGTAAAAGACAAAAAATTGCTAGTGAAGTTTGCATCAGATTGATTTATAAAGCCTTCAAATAATGTTGGATCTTTTCAGTGATTGATTTATAGAAAGGAGTAGTTTTTAAAAATTGATTGCACTATATGATGCAATAATTTTTGATAAAATATTACAGGAAAAAAAATTGTGCATCAGAAAATACGTTTTAAATTAATTACAAATAGAAAGTTATAGAAATTGCATTACATTAAATAATTTGCGTTTAATTCTTGAAATGACTTAAGGAAACTGAATGGCAAAATACTTTTTCAACCGATTCGCACATTTTTCAATATATTGAAATCTTGAATATCCAAGCAGCAAAAAATGGATTCAGCGTGACACACGTGCATACTTAATCATTTAATAACCCGGAATGTTTTCGTATTTGAAGTGATTTAAATGTTTGTTTAAATTACATGCATCTTTAAAACTGGTCAAATCAGGATTTCATATTGTTCTTTAAATTCCTAATTTTTGTTTACTTCTCATTCATGATACTGATACAATTAATGAATCAAATTTTTTGACATAAGTAATTATTGAAGCAAACATTTAAGAAATTTCACTCATCAGGTTAGGTCAAAGTTAACAAATTCACTGACATCTCTTTCATTCTTCGTATCTCATCCTAATCATAATATTCCATTTGACTGTATGGCTATATATGATATGCTTTATTCTTGCTTAAAATATAAAAATATAATTTCGGTAATTATTAAAAGATGTGTTAAATTTTGTATGTTGAATATGACACAACAGAGCAGCTGTTTTACGATATTTGAGATATTGGATATAATTCAAAGATTGATATAGCATTATATTGATATAGTGATAAGTGATAAGAAAAGAACTTTACTTTATCACTAAATGTCAATTCGACTCGCTAAATATTATTGCAAAATCGATCAATCAGTCCTAAATTTGCTGCAAAATTTTTTTTCTATTTTCTTACTCAACAATAAAAAAAAAATGTTATTCAGAGGTAATCAAAGAAAAGTTTTAATAGTTTAAAAAAAAAGAAACAAATTTTAAATCCAATTTGAAGCTATCTTTAAAATTATATATCAAATTTAAAAATTCATTCAAGATTGTATTCACGTAAGTAGTTCCAGGTTTAAATTCAATTTAAAAATTTAAAACGTCCTCTTAAGAAACTTTTCAGTGTGTGTGTCCTTCCAACAAATTGCGTAATGTAATTTGAAATAATAATTTAATCCAATACATATACATCTGATAATTACATGCAAGATTGATTAATAATTTGCATGCAAATGCAATCAACCAAATGGAAAAACCGATTAACCTGCTAGTAATTTGCATGTAAATGCAATCAAACAGATGGAAGAATTGTTGATTGATAAAAAGCTGAATAACCATTTGAAATACTTCGATAATTCTATGATTTATGTCCGATAAGTTATTCTGTCTTTCACCAGCACTGAAATAAATAAGCCAGGGAAGGATTTTTGAATGATCAGTAAAAACCGACGGATAAAAGAAGTTTTGAGTTTTTATCTTCTACTTTTCAAATAACTATCCTCAAGTATTTAAATACAAATTTATCAGTGAAAAAGTACTTAAAGGATAAAAAATAATTCGAAAGAAAAAGAAAAAAAACAAAAATGAATGAAGTAAAATGTCCAAGGATCAATAAATCGATCAATTATTCCGATATTATAGCTATTTCCATTCAAATTTTCCGCTAAAATTTTGAATTTCAAACTAAATAATAATGTGTACATTTCCATAAGATAGAAATATACATGTCCAGCTAATGGTTCATGAACAATTTCGGTACAAATCTTATCATTAAGTATTTACTTGAAAGTAAATATTAATTGCAATAGCTATCCGGTTTCATATTTCTGTTCCACTTCATCATAATGAACTTTTTTCCGTCCTGTTTATCTCTTCTTCTTTTTACGAATCTGATATTGATCTAGTTTTTCGTTATATTGTTACCAGAATAAACTGGCTTATTGTTAGTACATTTTGTTGAGTCAAAATGCATAAAAATGAAAAAAGACCGATAACGCAGTACCACAGTACCGATCCCACTCAACCATATTCATTCCACAATAACCGTCTATTCTCAGGTAAATGACCGATGTCATTTCCAATACGGTACGATTCATTTCCTTACGCGATAGATTACGGTATACTGAAAGAAATTAATTGATTAATAAAATCAATAAAAAGCAAAAGAAACTGATTGATAAAAAAATTATTATTAATAGAAGAAATTAAATTAATAAACAATTGTCTGCTTCTTTACTTATTTGTAATCTTTTGTTTATTACCACTAATTTTGCATTTTAATGAGCGAATAGTAGCACCGGATTATCAAATTGATCATGTCATCCATCATTATCAATTTTACAATTATAGAAAATATTACAACAATAATATGAAGATAACAAAATACAACCTGATAACATTCATTTCAAAAAATTTATGGAAACAGGCAGGTAAGATGTTCAGATGGAACAAATTTTACATATTTCTCATATATCATTCATATTTCTAAATTAAATTTCATAGCTAAATTTAATGTTATATTTTGTAAATTTAGTGCTGTAAATATAAATTTACATTCGCAATTGTAAATTTACAAAACTGTAAATTTACAAAAATTTCTTTTCTCTTTTTAAATTTTATGCAAATCTAACGATTTAAATTGTCTTTTTTTTCGATTCAAAAACTCGAAATTTTTGTCAATATTGAAACACATCCATTAACTTTACTTTTACATGTGAAAAGATGAACTGGAAATGTTTGTTCATAAAATGGCAAAAAAAATGCAATCTAACCTAAGATTTTTTGTAGATTAAAGATAAAGTGAAAACTAAGCTTAGATTTTTCACATTAGAAAAAGTAAAAAGTGACCAGTGTCCAGTAAGATAAACAAATACGTTAACTTTTCTAATCATTGTATCAGTATTAACTTTATTCTGAGAAAATAATAAAAATTTAAATGGTACTCACATTTACTGACCAGATCCTAGTTACAGTTCCATCGGATAACCAATTTATATTTTATGCTGATAGCTGCAATAAATTGGATTCAAATGTTGGGAACATTCAACAGCCACTGGGTATGATATCTGTAGCTGTGGTACTCGGCCTTATTGTACTCAGATAAGTTATCATTTGATCAGTGTTTCGTCGCAGATAGGAACTAAACGTATTTCCAGGATGCTTATTTTGGAGATTTTCGTCGTCAAAAATTAAACGAACGGATAAATCATATAATTTATCATATTTAAGATTGGTAAGTATAAATTAAATGGTCATTACTACCTTTCTGTAATGAAACTTTTAAAATAAATAAAAATTTATCGAAGGGACTGAATTGCTTAATGAGGATTAATTAAAACGATCTGTATATCATCCTAAACTCTCGCTCTCTCTCTCTTTTTTTTTCTCTCAACAATCTCTCAAAATTCCAATCGTCAATTGCAAAATTTTTAATTATTTGGAATATTTTATAGCGGTAAAAGTCGTAGCCGGAAAATGCTCTGGCAGTATCTGATTGTTGGTGATCCCCGGATGAAATCATTCCCGCTAATTCCTAGTAATCCAGTCACTTGATTCTGTTGGTAGTTGCTTTGTGAACACATCAAATTTGACATCCGGGAGTTTGTCTTTGTGTTACAATTTTAAGATGTTTTCTTAAACCTCATTAGGAAATTAACATTTCCTGAATCCTATTCGAAGTATTTGATAAAAAGGATCCGTTTTGTGAAAATGATCACCTGAAATGCCCTAAATTTGATAAGGCCATTTTTAAGCCCACCTGAAATGACCATTTTCACTTGACAAAATAAATTGTTTTCGATAAATTATGGAGAAATTGAAATGTTTATTTAAGGTAATGTACACCAAAATAATGATGAGCAGTTCGAATCTATCATACAAAACATAGTTATCGTAATTCTAATCGGAATGTATTTGTTTACCGGAATTGCTTCAACTATTTGGCTTTCATTTTATTTACCATACATGGGAGGAGTTATATTTGCAATTATGATTACAACTTCGGTTATTATCGACGGTGCAATTAATTTGATTTCATCTATTTTAATATATCAGGTATAAATTGATACTGAATTTAAGTGCTTTCAAACAAACTGAAACTGCTGTCGTACTAGATAAATTAAAAAAATCATAAAAAAAAAAATCATAACTGAATTTAAATTCAAATTTCAATTAAACTTTTAAATTTCAGAATTGGTTCTTATTTCCTTTATAACTTGGGATATTGTATTGATTGATATTGGATGAATGATAAATCATCATTGAATCCTTCCTATTTTGAAAAAAATTCATTGCAATTTATAATTTAATTTCAGTTATTTATCCCTCTATGTTTTAGATGTGAAAAGCACAGAGGAATGAATAACTGAATTTAAATTCAATGATGATAAATTTAATCTGAAAATCTCAAATATTAATACCACTATCATTATGTTTATCAGTGGAATTCATCAAATTTCTTCAAATCTACTTTATCTCACAAGATATCAGTATGTATAATTAATATTGGGATTATGCAGCAAAATGTCAGTACCAAATGTCCCGGAAAAATTAGGCCATATACGATACATAATGTTTAATAAGACTGGAACACTTACTGGTAAAATTTATTGATTTCCAAATTGAGTGCTACTTGTATTGCTTGATCGGGAAGCATGACTTTTACAGAAAATTTGATAGTATTTTGTCGATATGCGATTGATGGAGTGAATTACGGTTATGAGACAAAACAAGATGATTCGTTAAATTTACAAAATGTATAATGTTATAATCAACAATGAATTAAGGAATAGGTTTGAAAGACTGATAGAGTTTGTTTCTTAAAAATATGAAATTAATTTTCTCTCGTAAATATAAATTTAAAACAAAAAAATTTGTTTCAAAAGAATTTTTGACAATCTAATTTATGTAAATGTTGTTAGCAAATAAAATACTATTCAATTACTGATTATTTGTCTCATTTGATTTATGATAAATGATTCGAAATATTCGAAAGTGCCGTTCTAAAAAGAAAAAGATAAAAGTCCCATAATTATGGATCGATTATTCGACAACACATTTAAAATTAATAATAGTAATAACAATAATAATAATAATAATAATAATAATAATAATAATAATAATAATAATA